CAAGAACTGTGGCCAGTTTTAACCGGATTTCTAGATCAGAGCTGGCCACTGTTTCGTACGAGCTTCTCTTGTTCATGGCAGAAACCTGCGATACCGACCATAAAGCTCAATACTCGCGCTCTATCGAGGGAAAGCTCTCGATGTATCATCAAGACGCCGAGTAAAATCGGTACATAAACATTTTACTATAAACTTTTGCAGAGCATTTTAAAATGTACCACATGTACAATTACGACTATTTCTTGATCAATATGTTATACTAATTTTTTCTTATTATTAATGAAAATTTCATTGAAAAATACTTTAAAAAAATAGAGTGTCACATTCATCCCTTTTAGCAATTTATCAGAAATAAAATTGAATATATTTTTTTTAATTTTCTAGGACTTCACTTACCTCATATTAGTATAAGAGGCGACAGCTGTCGCAAGATCGGATGCTGCAAGAGCGGATAACGATCCATCAAAATCAGCGGCAAGATGTTCAGCAAGTTCCTCCACTTGCGTGGACCAACCTTGACCAGAGCCATTGCTTCCGATGGATCCTGAAATATAAATCAAACAAATTTCATGAGTCTGATTTTTTAAAATATTCATTTTTTCTTTTATGTTTTCTTTGTTTTAGCGTATCGAGCTAATGGCATACAGAAAAACTTAATAAGCAAATAAACATTTTGGATTTAAATTTACTATATCGTTTACAATTACATCATACTTTAAGTTTTCTGTGACAAGTTGATTTCACTTACTGTTTGCGTATTACTATTTAAATTTTTTGTATCATATGATAAATTATAAATGTGTTACAAACTTAAAAGATATATATATAATATTAACATTTTTATTTTTACAATAATACAGATCTTTTTTTATTTTGAAAGAGAGAGAATTATTTGCATGAAAATAATATAAAGTTTAACTTCTTTATATTACTACTATTTTTTGCTTAGGTAGTTCTTCATTTTATGTTTCGCCCTCTTTTCAAATAACTATTATCTAGAATAATCAACACACAGCTCTTCTCGTATACGGCATCATACCGCCTTGAGCGCCGTTATAACCGACATGAAGCTGATGATGCATCGTGGTCGGTCTATTTTTCGTTTCCTGGATAACGTGACGGCGCCGACTCTTAGTGATGATGGGGGGATAACGTCGACTTTGTAGCAGCGACACCCTAGATCTATCGATCTCACACCACTTCATCCTATTTTGGCCCCGGTGAGAATCGCACCCGTGCAGAAACACAACACTAAAACTACGTGCGTATACCTTCACAAAGTTCCGCCAATATGGCAAACTGGTATCGGGCTTCTCTCTCTCTCTCTCTCTCTCTCTCTCTTTCTTTGGTCAAGCTAATCTGCGTGATACATTGCATGTGTACATATATACGAGTTATCAGCAACTGATGACCACGTGGGCGAAAAGGCGTCGGACGTAAGATAAAACACAGTAGTTCGTCAATCAGTCTTGAAAAGTTCTTCAAAGCGATGTCACTTAAATCGCATATCGCGTCATCGCTGAGTCTTGATCGTTAATTAACAATGACAATATTGAACTTGAGTAATACTTCGGACACAATTTTGAGCATTCTTCGGTATTCGCTGATTTGCCAAGTAGTCGAAATTTCATGCAAGCGAAATTTGATGATTATTATTAAGTCATTTGCGTCAAGAGCAATATTGCATTGTTATCATATCCGTATAAATTAATGATATTAATATTCAATTAGAATTTGATCACAAGAACAATAATCTGGTGCGATATTAGTGGATGCTGGAGTTCTGTTTATAAATTTGTATAAAAAGACATATATGTATAGTGAATTTATCATATAGAAAAAATCTTTTAACAATTTTTAAAACAAAAAAAGTAATACAGATATCTCTTAATAGAGAAAAGATCTCAAATATTAAACAGCAAAATGGAATTCGTGGCTACGACAGTGTTTGACAGAGGCCGTTTGGTCACGACCTTTAAGAAGATATATTACATCAACGACTACATATGATAATGACGATCGACTTCATGCCACTGTACAATTAAGGCAACATATTCTTTAAATTTTATGCAAATATATGTATTTTGTACGGGAAACGAAATTTAATATCATCAAATTTTGAAATCTTAAAAAGAGTTTCTTACAAAGTACCTTAATATCTTTAAAAGTAAGATTATTTTAAGCAAGCTTTATATTTTTATCCTATTACCACTATACATATAATTTACAAACTTATACATTAAATTTATTTAATTTTATGTATAAAATAATGCTAATCTGGAAATTGGAAGAAATATGTTAAAAAATATGCTTTAAAAATTTAATCGCAGAAATAAATGCTTCTATATAAATTAATAAATTAAAATAGAATAATCTATCTTATAAATGAAGTAGTATATAATATAATTTTTATGTAAATATTTAGAACAAATAAGAAATACCAACCATCTCGTCTAATATGTTTCTTTTCAAGTTCAGTGATATCTGATTCCGTGGAACGGCGTTTTAGATTGTTCTGTTCACAATTCGGAGAAGATCCAGAAGGCGAGAGTTGTGGCGAGCCGCTGTTCAAATGTATCTGATCACCACCAGTCGGCGAATTTTTTGGCGAATGCTTATCTTGCCATAAAGAATTTTGTGAACTATGATACCCCATTGTGGTCTGCAATATTAACATTTCACATATTAATATAGTAATTGTATCGTCGTATAACAAATTATATTCGTAAAATCAGTCTTTGTTTTGATTTACACATATAGGATAACAACAAATAATATTACTAATATGGAACAAAAGTTTATATATTTTTTTTAAATCACTGCATTTAGTGACAGTCACTGGAAATGATATAAGTTTTCATGCGGTCAGATTTGACGGTTATATCATTTCTTTCATTACAAGAATACATATAATAACTACAATCATACGAATTTACGAAAATGAATAGTTTTTACAATTTTAATTTATAATTTATTGTTTTTATTGTTTATTTTGTACTGAAGAAGACAATATAACAATCAAAGACAATAGTTGAAACGTTTACTTATACTACATTTGTTGTACACAATATTACAATTAATTAATATTTGCGCATTTATGTCTGACTCATCATGGTTATTATTATTTTATTTATATTTGTTATAAAAATTTGAATATTTTCTTTTATTTTGATAGAAGTTGTATAAAATACCTACAATGAATGTATATAAGAGTTTCCTTTCACTTTAATGTAAAATATTTTTGCTGATTTATATGCATACTTTATGCTGTCTACAAGACGCAAACACGTAACGCGACAGTTTTTTTTTAATTCCTCGTAAAAACAGAAATATCTTCAACCCCGAGATATTTGATAATAACGCGACACTATATGTGTATTAACTTATAGTTCGTTTTGCAGACAGGTGTATTATATTAAATTATGCTGCAACACAACTTTATGTTTCAATATAAGAAAAACAAGAAAAAGAAAAATATAAATAAATCAAATGTAGAAAATTACATGTAAAACAATCTAAATTTCAAAACAATCTTATTAATAATATACCTACTATTATACAATAAAAATTATAATTATAATTTTATTTCTGCATTTGTGGAATTTGTTTTTGACTGATTTTATATGGAAACAGACTACAAATATTTAAATTAGAAATTTTTACTTTTTTAGTCATCAAATAGATCATGTTTTTACTAGTATTATAATAAAATGTAATGTTGAGTTACCTAGAAATTAGGGAATCTCTGCAAGCGACCTGTATCAATATCGGTGACTCTTTCCTCTAAATTGTTTAATTTTTAATTTATCTATTGATACTGAAAAATTTTGTTTATCATATCAAGATGTGATATAAAATATTTTAAGAATAGAGAATATGGAATATATCGTAACATTTACATAAACTTCTCAATTTTAAATCTTTGATTTATTGTAGGTTTAATTTTACTCTCGAAGAGTTCATTATATCAATTCTCGTAATCCGCATCCAATCAATTAATATCGAAATTATAACAAATAATATCTAAATTATAATCATTCAAAAAATTTAAAGCTATCAAAAAATTTATATCAAAATTATATAAACAATTAGTAAAAATGTATATAAATAGTAAGTTATAAACGAGAAAAAATTAATAAAAATACAAAAATTTTTTAAACAATGTTAAATAAAATAGTATTATCATTTAAAATATAATTTCAAGTACATGGTCATTCATAATTTATTAGAATGAATTTGATAAAAAAGAGAGAGACAATATTTCACGTACCTGTTGAGAGGTGGCTACAACGTCACATCTGTTTGGACGAACCGGTGACAATTGCTCGTATGACGGAGATGTGTTGGAGAACCACATCGCTCCGTGTAGGGTTTCCGCGCCACCATCCATCATGAGTTGCAGCTCCATTCAACAACTTCTCAGAGCGCACGTGATCGAATTAATTATCACCTACAATCTACGTACTGCGACACTAACGGGTTTGCCTGTAGCGATTTCCGGATAAGAAATATCTATATGTTAAATTTTGATCTCAGATCTACCAAGGGTATCAGTCTTCAACCGTCCTTAAAGAGACTCCGTCAGCGAGTATCAATTCTCTAACGCCAAAAGATCCCTCTCTTCAAGGATGAGAAGACGTGGACAACTTCTTGACTTATAAGTTACAACTTTACTACTTTTTACATGCTATACGTATGTATATGTGAAAATGAATTTGGTGATTGTGTTTCTTGGCGACGATTCTGTAAAAGGCGACGAGTCCACGCTGCTCTTAAATCACAGATCGATGATCTTCGTTTCCGACTGTCTGTTTTCTAGACGTAATAAGCACTCATTCCGTTTTACCACGTGTGCCTTTCGTGCCTGTTGCAGATCGTGCCGTGCATCTACCCTGTGGGTACCCCTTGGTCCAGATCCTCGATGTGCCCGGAAATACACGGTGCATCACCCGACCGCCGGTGATTATCAGGGCCGAGTACGCGTGCTGATCCGCCCACTCTTAGAACATCACGAAGAAGCTGTTGTACAGTTTCTTGATGCCGGTGGTCTCACGCTGCCGGTGTGTTTCCAAGAGTGCACAGCCTCGCGATTTCAGTGATAAAAAACGCGAAAAGACGACGAACGCGTCCTCGAATACCATTGCCACACCTTGGCTGCAACGCATCTTGTTCTTAGTTGTACTGAAGCTTTGCTGCCGTTTCGGCGGAGAACCTTTTCCTGCGAATAACGTACCATTAATTTGGAAATAAGAATAACACTCAGTTGATAAACTGATTATTTCATTTGACATTTAAATTAATTTACCAAGATAGTAAATTCTGCTACATCTTATTCGTTAAAATTTTAACAACAATTATGTAATGTGTTAATTATGTCATATCAAAATAAATAACAAAAATTATAATATATTGCAAGTAAGACATAGAATTCTATCCCAAAGCTATTAAAGTGATTATTTAATATATAAAATGTTTAGTTAACCAAATAACAAATAAAATAGTAACACTGATCATATAAATAAAAAGAAATTTATATAAAAATTGCAAAAACGTGATATTTTTAATTTGTCATCCTTTAAATCATTTCTTAAAATAATAATGGCTTTTTTTAACATCATAAACAAGTGTTTAAAGTATTGTACAATATACCTAATCTACGTTGATTAGTCATTTGATCGATCGATGTTTATTCTCAATAATCGAATATTTCTATATTCCGTGATTAATAGCGCGTTCATTAAATGTTCATATAAGGTTTAAGTAACAAAAAGACTGTAGTTGTTTCTTAGAACAATTTGTCGCTGCTTGACATCAATTGAAGCTATGTGTGACCGACGCGAAAGCATAAAGCGGTTTCGTGATAATCAATTTTTTTGTATAATTTAACTTCTTTAATTGTTTCATGTTTTCAGAAGTTAATAGATAATTTACGATGATTTAAAATTGCAGTTAAATTCCCTCTTACATAATAGAGAAATTTTGATCCATCACATTAATATTCCATGGCATATATGGTTTCATAATTGCGAAATTTCTCTTGAAATCTTTTTCATATAAAATTAAACATATATAATTGTTAACATCAGTCGTCAATATTACATAACATTTAATATTTTACAAACCTTCTTCTATACGTTTTAACGATTGGTGCCTTTTGCCTGGTATCTTCTCCAACTTAGATAAGAATCGCTTGAAAAGATATTGTCTCCGTAACGAAGAACGAAAAAAAAGAATGTCAATTCTGCATATCCAAAAATATTCCCGAGGTAGACGAGTATCCGCGTGACACACCTTAATTATCTTATCAAGATCTTGCGCCTGCGGAAGATTAACTTGAAGAGCTTTCGAAATTTTTACGCTTCTTCGAATCCAAATTGTAGTGCTGTTATAATTACCAAAACTTCAGTCAGAAACGTTAATAGACAAGAGAATAATCCCTGTCTAAAAGGAGTTGCTTCTCATGAAAATGTAAAAGATTCGAACTGGCGGATATCCCCGAAACTCCTGAATAGACTCAACGTTACGTACGTTTCGATTGCTTTCTAACGACTATGGCTCACACACTGGATAGTGTCTTGGATATCGGAGGCCTCCGCCTGACCGTTATCACCACATTTTCATGATCCTTCGCTCCATGTTGCCGTCTAAAAAAAGAATCCGAGCCAGGAGGAAATGAACGAGGCCTCTTGTGAATGACGTCAATGGAAGTTCGAGTTTCGTTCACCACGTTCCAAAATCTTCTTGGTAGCAAGTAGAAATCTGGTTCTTCTAAAAACAATCTGCAAGGCGAAGGCTCTCCTGATGGGACCAAAGGGATTTAACCCTCTTAACAATATACCCGCGTCTTTCTCTCTCTCTCTTAGTATCGTGTCCCTGCCGTTGCTGCGCAAAGAGACACTATCAAAGTCTTTCGAAAAGTAGCAGCCAGTAAATGTGGGCCATTCAGTCGTCGAGAATTTCGAATGTGATAAAAATCGTCTTCTTCGTAATCGCTCGTAAAAGGCAATGCCGAGAAGCACCTTATGATCCTTTGCGTTAATAAGTATGACGTTGTTTTGAAATGTATTCACTGCTGATGACTTGTTGATCTCATTTTGGTTCAAATGCTTCTTTCTTCGTTCTTAAGAATTAAGCTACTTAATATGTTCTCCAGTAAATAATCATTAAAAATTCACAGACAGTTAATCCTTCTTATTGAGCTTTAGCAGGATACAAAGTTCCGGATCTTCTTTAAGAAAAGAAGTCCGGTTAGCAAGACGGTAGTCGATAGATTGCCTAACGGTCCCGACACAAACTCTGGAATGTCCACGAGTGATCCAATCCAACCGTGCTTCAAGGAATTAACAGCTTGGCCAATAGGCTTCACTCTCGAGGGTCGACTCTCAATTGGAACCACTCAGCGCTGATCAACGAGACGCGTTTCCTTTATCCTCTAGCGTTGTCTCGTGCTGATCGCGTCGTCTTGCAAATTCGCAATTTTTTGTCACCTGAAGATTCTAATGCCTCGAAAACTCTCTTCTTGCATTACGAAGGAATTAAATTTATCATTTGCAGTTTTGCGCACTCGCTGTGATAGTCCAATAATTTATCTCGAAGATACTCAGCCTTCAACTTATCTTCTGGTTGCAAACGTCGCGGATTCGAGGAGAGCAACTGCGAGAAGCTTATTTGTATTAGTTATCAGTTAAGACGTCACAACAATGATCATCAGAGGAATGTATATTATTACGAATTACGTGTCTCGTTGCTGAGGACACTGAAAATTTCCACGGTCACCTAGAGATATTAGAATCTATTCTAAGACAGAACTGTTCGACGACGCGAAAATGAGGCCAGCCGCGGTACTTTGTAAATTGACGTAGTATGCAACTGGCAGCCAACGATCACGACTGCCAGTGTCGTCTCGACAGACACGTCGTAAGAGCGACGAGTCTGTTTGTCACGCGGATTAATTAATTTCAAAACGTTATCTCTGATATCGTGACTTTTCGCACAGCACGACCTCGAAAGTTCTTCCTTCTACACGCTCGTTTGAAAGAAGACAATTTCGCTTCTCGGGCTCTCTTTTGTTCCGCGCGCGGTTTCTGCTGATCGTCTCTGAACGTCACGATGCGGTGCCGATATGTCTGTCAGCGCTGCCACGTGCCGGTTGTTCAAAGAATGTCTGCCGAGGACGTTACTTCTCTCGATCAGGTCTCCTGCCCGATCGCGCTCTGTTTGCTGAAGAAATCTAACGCTGTTTGCCGTGCGCGTTCGATCTTTCTCAATTTACCACGAAATTTTCCCGTTCGTGTGTTTATTCGACAAGTTTCTGCATCGACTTGATGAAGAAGATCTGAAACAATAAAAGTGACAGCAATGTTCATGACCTCACTATTGACAGTATCAGATCGTAAAAGTATTTATTTTTATTATTATTTTTCGCACACAATTTACGTTACACATTAAATTATAATAAAATATGTCATATTAAAATGCATTTGGCAAGATTTAAAGCTTTCTCATATAAAATACATAAAATTTTTATTGTAAAATTTGTTATTCCAGCAACTCTCTTTATCAGCCATTGTACAATATAAACATGATATGTCTTCTTCGTATCATAATTTGTAGTTCACGACTTTTTCATACATCATGTCCACCTCTCTCGCTTCTTCCTCTTCTCTTTTCATGAACAATCGAGCAGCTCTCGTCCGGAATGGATCAGCTGTAGTTTCGTTGATCGATGTCAATCCGCAGGGTCACCATCGCGTACTCGCTACTCGCTTTATAGCGACTCAAGCAATTCCTAGAATTGCGAACGCGCTTGCATATTGTTAAAAAAAAAAATGCCGACAGTGCAGATCATGTGTCATCTTCTATGGAAAATGATGAATATCTCCATTAGTGTGTCACGTAGTTTTCATATTATTCATGTAACAAAACACGCACACTAATGATATAATTTTTTTTATTTCTATAGTTACATAAAATAATATATAAAATGACATTTAAATATCTTTCATTCAAAATTTTATACAGCGTATATAAAATTGTTGCTGCAAAAAATTTATAGAAAAATTTAGTTTTATAAAATATACGTTAAAATGATAATTTCTTCAAAGGTATATTGGATAACCTAACAATATTTTTTAATCACTAAAACTCTCCTGTCGTAGACGTAATGTTGCTTTGTACTTTGCATCCGGATTTATTTCAGATCAACGACCACAACATTTGCTTCAACTCATCTGAGCTTATCATGACAAGTCACGACCTGACGAGACACGACAACAAAGTTATGCACGATGGGCATCGTTATTTTTTATTTAATGCAAAAATTTCTGACTGCAGGAGATCTATATTTACATGAATTTTCTTGAATTATACATTAGAAATTATAAAAATCTAGAAGATTGACTTAAAATCATAGTAACAAAAACTGTATTTGCAAGCTGTATATCGATAGAATTCAACGTTTAGATATTTTACTATTATTACAACAAAGAATTATTTATTGTTACTGATTTCTAATCATAATTTCTAATTATTTAAATTTTTAAGATAACATTTATTTCATTACTATTTTCTTAAATATGAAACACACACATACATTGTTTTAATTAACGCGCGACACACTAATTGTAAAATAAAATTACCCAATATTTATGTTGATTTATGCAAATAATCGAACTATAAACCGTATAAATATTTATATACAAACTACTGTTTTTGCTGACACGTCGAAAATGTGTAATACCCATTTATGGGAACGAGCAGGACGCGTTTTGTTGAGATATGTTAGTGACTGACGTAACAACATCAAATAAATGTCTCTTAATTAATTATTGTCTGCACCTTTCACAGACTGTGAGCCGTGTACTGTCAAGTGTCATTAAATCATATTGTCGATGAAATTTTACATAATTGTACATAAACTTAAGCGACAACATTCGTAAAAACTATTAAATTTTATTTTATTAATTATTATATTGTTCGTATATATTGTAACGTTATATATTAAGTATCTTACAACTTGGATATGTTATCTATGCAACGAGCATTGTGACAAATTCGTCGTCGATCTGTGCTCATTATCAGTATCTCTTGTAAATAGATAATTGTAAAGTGAACATACCTGGGAAAACCGTAGAAGAAAAAAATAAGCGACAAATAAGATTGTATATTATTGTCGCGGAGAAACATGATTATTTGCCTCTGAATTAAACGATTTGACGACACGACGAAGCATAGAGTTAAACGACTAAGCGCGCATAAATTATACCAATGATTTATGAATGTACGCGCAAATGAATTGTGCTATCGAATAATGAATGTTGAAGCGTAACGTTCGGGCCTGTCTTACAATTATTGATTACAGATACATGAACTCTGCAGAAATTTACATTTTCATTAACGAAGCAATTCTCGAAATGGAGCAATTCTAGGAATCGTATGTAATAAATAATGATCGAAAGTTATTGAAGAAAAATTGGTAATCTGGTTATTAAATCAATTTTTAATTAGAGTTGATAAAAAATTGAGTTCCCTCTTTTAAAATAGGCTAAAACCTCGAGTAAAAAATATCTTGGCTATGGTCCAAGCATTTCACCCGGCATTTGCATTGAAGGTTACGCTCTGCCATTGAGAGCGAAAGACAAAAGAATATTACAGAAATGATTTTCACAATCTTTAGGAAATGATCGAACATCACGTTGTGTGTGTCAGTAAACATAAGTGTTAATTCGCCGTGCACACCCAGAAGCGACAGCAGATGCAGACGCATATGCACGCGTCAATGCGTCAAGGTCACGCATATATCGAGAGTCATTATAGCCGAATGCATGTCTGTACCATGTGTAGTCTTTTACGCCGTGCTGCTTTCGATTGAAATTATAAAACCGGTTGTAGCATGCAAGAATCTAAGTTGCTGCCGCAGAATCGGTGGATCGAAGTAATAATCCACCGCTATAACAGATGTATGAAATAATTTATTTTTTTAAATAAATTTCCTAAGAAACGTTTTAGGGTTCCTGTTCACTTACCACTGTTATCTCAAATTGTGACGTTGGAAGTGAGAAAATGCATAATAGAAATTCTTGCAAAATATTTTAATATAGAAATACAATATATTCAATAAGACAGCTCTTAATGTGTGATACTAAACGGTACCATGTCGTTAAAAATCACAGAATCGACGATATTGAAAATGAATAAAGCATAACTAAAAACAAAATGAATTATATTCATAACTATAACATTGTCACATTAATAATATAAGTAAATATGATTTTGAATTCTGCTTCAAGATAAGAAGATAGGTATTTCATATAAATCTATATATCAGTGCATTTTATACTTTTATAAGTCTATTCTATTAATTGCAAATGTTTTATTGAAAAATATTTCTATTCAAATTTGCAAGAAATTTCATCATTTGTTTTTTTCTGAAATCGCAATTTGAAATAGCAGTGATTAGTGAGCTTTAAGTTAAGCGATAAATTCAATAGTGTTTTTGGAAATATTGTATCATGAGAGAAATATTGAAAAAATCATTCGCAATGTATGTATTAAATAGGTGTTATTTGTATACTTTCTATAATTGAATTTATTTCTTTACATCTTATGAATATGCATAATATATTATGCAAGTGAAATAACATATGATAAAAATGTCATCATAATGTCAGCTGTATGTATAGATAACGTAATTCGCACAAGAAGTTATTAATAAAAACGACTAATAGAAAATGTCAACGACAAAATGTATGTTTCACTCCTGTTTGTCTTTTGGTTTTGTCCGACTATGCAACATCAATATCTTTAGTTATTCCCGGAGACCGCGATGATCAATTGTCCGTGCATTAGAGTGCTATTATCTTTCACAATAGATCCGCGTCGAATTCGTTATTCAACTGCAACTTCTGCGAGCATCGATTTCTTCCACTGTCTGTCGGCATTCCCGTTCCAGGATTCCGCTCCAGACTCGATATCGGTGATTTAGGCCTGGCACCGTATGTAAAATCGTCTTGGAGCCCAAAACTCCGACGCTTTGATTGGCTGTACCATAAAAAATTCGTGCGACTCTGGAATGCAGCAATGCCATGGCACACA